CTCGCTGTGTCACCCGGGCTGGAGTGCAATGGCACAATCTCATTGCAACCTCCGCCTCCTGGGTTCAAGCAATTCTCCTGCCTCAGCCTCCCAAGTAGCTGGGACTACAGGTGCCCGCCACCACACCCAGCTAAATTTTTTTGTAGTTTTAGTAGAGATAGGGCTTTCACTATGTTGGTCAGACTGATCTTGAACTCCTGACCTCGTGATCCTCCTCCTCGGCCTCCCTAAGTGCTGGGATTACAGGTGTGAGCCACCGTGCCCTGCCAAAAAGCTTTTTTTCTTTTTAATTTAAAAATCAGATCACCTAAATGGTCTACATTTGGACCCACAAACCAGGTACCCAGGTTACCAAGTGAGACAGCTGCAATTGTACTGCTCAGAAGCCCACAAGATTTGAAAGAAAAAAAAAACCTCGGGGGTTTTGGTGAATGCTGTGCAGACTTCTATAAGTCCGATGTTTGATATAATTGACTTCAAGGCTGATACAGCCCAGGGCCAGGACAAAGTGGGAGAGAGCTGCTCATTTCTAGGAGCAGACTTCCTACCAGGAGCATTGCAGTCGCTTCCGAACAGAGGTTTGGAGAAAGTGGATCATTTGGAGAGAAGTGATCTAGCTAGTTGGAGAAATGGAAACTATCCTAGTTGAAGGAATCTGTCCTAGAAACTCATCATTAGAGAAATTCACAGAGAAACCTTAGAGGAAGGAAAAAATAAATCGTTTTAAGTTTTAAAGAGTTGACATGTGGGAGAGGGGAAACAGAGATAGTTAAAAGTTACAAGGAAAACATTTCCAATTAATGTGAGGAGGGATTTTACATTGGGAGAGTTCCCAAAACTAAATGGCCACTTGGGAAGGCAGTACATTCCCAGACAAAAGTACCAGGCATAGGTGAGCACTTGGTGACGATGTTATAAAGGAGACTCTGGCTGGGCCCGGTGGCTCATGCCTGTAATCCCAGCACTTTAGGAGACCGAAGCGGGCAGATCATGGAGGTCAGGAGATCGAGACCATCCTGGCCAACATGGTGAAACCCCATCTTTACTAAAATACAAAAAAAATTTAACTGGGTGTGGTGGTGCACACCTGTAGTCCCAGCTACTCAGGAGGCTGAGGCACGGGAATCACTTGAACCCAGGAGGCAGAGGTTACAGTGAGCCAAGATCGTGCCACTGCACAACCTGGCAACAGAGCAAGACTTCATCTCAAATAAATAAATAAATAAAGCCAGGTACAGTGGCTAACACCTGTAATCCAACCACCCTGGGAGGCCAAGGCAAGCAGATCACCTGAGGTCAGGAGTTCAAGACCAGCCTGGCTAACATGGTGAAACTCTGTCTCTACAAAAAATACAAAAAATTAGCTGGGCCTGGTGGCACACACCTGTAATCCCAGCTACTCGCAAGGCAAGTAGAATCACTTGAACCTGGAAGGCAGGGGTTGCATTGAGCCAAGATCATGCCATTGCACTCCAGCCTGGGCAACAAAGCGAAACTCCATCTCAAAAATAGGTAAGCGTGTGTGTGTGTGTGTAAAGGAGACTCAAGGTGAGTGGGTTGAATAAAGTGCATATAAGATTCTTCCCACACCAAAAATCTGTGATTGCGAGAAGTAGCTTTCTTATCTTGCAATTTGAGATACATCAGAGGTTTAGAAAACCTCTGGAGTCGAGGGAAGGAGAGACAACTTTTGATTGGGAGTAAATAATCAGGGAAAAAGTGACTGAAGGCCTGGGATCTTGAACACTGAAAAAGGGAAGATCTCTAACACTGAAGGAGGAACCATGTTCTATGACATGGTTAGTTTTTGACATATTAATTCCTTCAACAAACCATTTGAATACTTAATATGGTCCAAGCTCTGGGCTAGGAGCTGGAACAGCAAAGAAAAACCAGGACAAAAGTCCTTGACTTATGGAATTCTTCCATTTAGTTACGAAACAGTCCCATGAGCAATGGTTATAATATGTGATAAGGTGGAGATAAGACACAGAAGTGAGGCATCTAACCAAGGAAATAGAGAGGTGTCAGAGAAAAACTCTTCCTAGAGCAATCTAGGGTTGGATCTAAGAGCTGCCTGAGTAAAGGCATGGAGGCAAAAAATAGCACAGTTGACGCAGAGAACTATGAAAAGTTGAGTGTTGCCTCATTTGTTCATTCAACAAATAATCTGTATAATGCCTGTCATGTGCCAAGCACTGTTCCGGGCTCTTGAGAAATACTAGAGTACTAGTGAACAAAAAACAAAGATCCCTGCCCTTGTGGAGTATACATACTGGGATGGGAGGGTGGGGAAGGCAAACCCAATAAATAAATTATAGTATTCTAGAAGGTGGTATGTGCTGTGGAACAAAGAGAAAAGTAAATGCCAGGTAAGGGAGTGTAAGGCAGGGAGGGAGTTGCAGAGAAAAGTTGCAATAATGAATAGAAGTCTAAGCTTTGTTGAGATGACATGTGATCAAAGATTTGCATGAGATGAGGGAGTTAGCTATGAGAATAACTGGAAGAGTGTTTAAAACAGAG